GAGTACTCTTTACACGCATGCATGGAGTAGTCGCGATTTTTGCAGGGGAGTCGCAAATAAACAAAACAATCGTAATAGCAAACGAAAGTATTAACAAGCAGCAAGCTACCTTGCTTACTGTCGTCAGAGAAATTGCTGCTCTTCGAAATGAGAATGCGCGGGTGGTATCGTTGGTGAATTTTCTGTATCAAAATAGGAAACAACTATTGCAAAAGTTCGATGCCCTGCGGGCAGAAAAAATTTAAATGCAAACGAAACTCGCTAATAATGATGCGAATATATTGCCACTAACAACAGAATTAAAACATCTACGTGTAGGGTTCGAACGATACTATCGATACTCAGGGGTTTAAAATGAATACTTTAATACTCGATACCTTATTTGGTGAATTTACTCGATACTTTCCAAAGTACTCGTAGTATCGAATACTTTTTAAAAACACACTTTTTAAATTTTTTCATCCATTGCTTTCTTTGCTTATATGGATTACTATCATTCAATTTTGTCCATCACTTAAACCAAACTGAAATTGCGTGTAGTCTGTTGCATAACCTAAACCAAATAAGTTAACGTTTAATGGCCTTATTCTTAAAAAATAAAGTAAATTTAAAGAGCTTAATAAAGTGACATTTTCATAAATTTTTCAGTTTATAAACCTATTTTTTATGAATACGGCCATAAAACTTTACGTAAAGTTCACGAAAATGCAGAATTTTTAGAAACTTTTTGGGTACGCAGTTTTGTAACCTATTTAGATTTACGTGTATCCTACTACCGTCGACTTTTAATTCAAACTTGCACATTATTATACTAAAATTGAAAAATGCATACCCTAAAACTTTACAAAAATTTCTTAATAAAACTTGAAATTCGTGAAAGTAAATCACATGTATGTATGTACATTTAACGTTAAAATTACTTCTAACGTGAAAGTAAGTTCTGCAATGAAATAAAAATCAAATATTTTAAATTTCTATTGTAATTTCAGGAAATAACTAGATATACTATTGAAAAATAAAATAATTTTAGTATCCCAAAAAATGTATTTTAATGAGTCCGATACTGAGTAGTATCGATACTTTTTCCCTGATACTTTTAGAGTAGCGATACCATGAGCTCGATGCCAGAATGAGTACTCAGTATCGATACCAAAGTCTGGAATTTCGAACCCTATCTACGTGGCCTAGTGACAAGTGCTTTAAACAACAAAGAAAGAGTCGTTAGCACAGCTTGCACTGCCTGTTCAATGCCTGCTGCTGTTTCCTCCGTCTCCTCTACTTCTCCGTCTTTATCGGCCACGATCACTGATAATGTGTGTGAGGGCCGGTTCGAATGCTGTGGTTGATATCAATACGAGCGCAATACCTGTTGGTGAGAGTCGCTCTTCGCGCTGTTTGCTCTTCCGTACCCGCTGCTTCAAGTGCTAGTGTTGCTGTTTCTGAGTGTCGGCCGACTGCTGCTGCTTCATCTTCGTCATTTCCAGCATCTTCGCAAACAACTTCAATTGCTTATGATGCTGTGCACATGCCAGTTTCATTGTCTTTGCGGGCTGCTAATACTATGGTAACACAAGAATGATAATATACAAGATTGCGCCGATCAGAGAGGATTTTTGAGAATAACTTTTGTGTGACGTTACACTGGTGCAATTGCGAGAGAGAAAAGCCAAAACATGAGCAAGAATGGAAGAAGAAAAAATGTTGCAAGGAAAACGTAAACAAGTTGCACAAGTGTGACGTCATGCAACCAACTATTCTGTCAAATTCGTTAACAGATGTACTAACCATGAACCAAAAATACAAGATCACGCCTTCTTCTTAGTAGCCCGTTATAATCGCATTTAGGAAAAAAGTTGGCGACTTTGACAGTAGCCTTTGTTTACATTTGTTCGTTGTTTACAATTTGGTGGTGGCTTTTTACTGCAATTTTCTTAATTTTCGCTTGTGACAACGTGTGCACACATAAGGTAAAGAATAATTTAACACAGCGACATGATTTATAGAAGAATTTGCATAAATAAAAATGATTATTCATGCGTTCAACAATTACGCGTTTTTTTTTTTTTTTGTTCTCTTCGTTGTTTACTTCTTACAACAAAGATGGCGTCGAGATTTCAACAGCTAGAAAATAACTTTTTTCTTTCTTTCGGGAAGGCGTGATCTTGTGTCTTTCGTTCATGTGTACTAACTTAGGCGCACTTTAGATCTGATTTTTTTAAGTAAAAGTGTCTTTGAATGAATGTAATTTATCTACTATAAAATCGGATATGCATCATGTACCCCTAGTTCTCGATCTTGAGTTTTATGAATATCCTAAAACTATTAATGTTAATTCAAATTTCACTTTTTATTTTAAGCGTTCCGATTTTTTGAAATTAAATAATCTCTTGTTGAGCATTAATTGGGACAGCTTGCTCCATCATCTTGACATTTCTGAGTGTTTTGAGGTTTTTAGAGCCACTGTCGTAAACGTTTGTAAAAGTGTAATTCCTCTGGTAACGAAGAAGTAGTATAAAGCAGGGACGTGTTTTTGCACTTTCGGATTGGTTCATCAAAGCGGTTTTTTTGGTATTTTAACCGGGGTTTCGGTTCGGTTCAACGGTTCGAAAAACAAACAACTAATAAAGTCTAAGTTCGGCCGAACATTAAATACCCAGCGCAAGTATTAAATATATGATTTTCACCTTTCCGAAAGCTACCGTAACATGGTAAGCTGGGATGTATAAATTTTCAGTAATTTAGCGTCCTTAAATTTCGAAATATTGAAGTTTCAAGCATTTCTGAAATTTACCGTTATATGAAAAGCGGCCTTAATTTTAGTCTGATTTCAATAATTTTCGACGCTTTGCTTTTATTTGGCAACCACAATAGCCATAGCGAGTTTGGTACAAATTGGTAGAACGGTTGCCGAGATACATATATGTGATCATAAGTGGGCGATGCCGCGCCCGTTTTCCAAAATTTTATCATAAACGTATTTCTTGGTAAAGGGTTGTTGCAAGCATCCATTTTTATAAATTAGCTTTAATATTTACTGATTTATCAAAGATTTTGTATTTCTCCACATTACCGTTATATGGGAGGTGGGCATGGTTATTGTCCGATTTTGCCCATTTTCAATACCATCCGTCCTACGTCCGAAAGAAGTGCACGTACAAATTTTCGTTGAAATATCTCAATTTTTACTTGAGCTATCGTGTGCACACACGGATCGCCGGACGGACGGACAGACAGTCACCGCTTAATCGATTTCTCTATTCATTCTGATCACTTATGTATACATTTGTCTATATCTATCGATTCGTTTTACCTGTTACAAACCACCGTTATGTGAACAAAGTTATAATACCCTTGTGCACAAGTGCGCTCGGGTATAAAAAAATAACGCGCAAGTTTAAGTGTCAAGTGTCAAGTGCAACAACGCGCAAGGTTAAGGGTCAAGTGTCTGCCAAATGAGATGGGTTGCCTTTACATTTGATATTTTCACATGGTAAACAAACATGGTAGGTATTACCCATGGCGGAATTATACCAGGTGAAGTAATTAGATCGAGAAGAAAGATTTTGACACTGCCTTATTTGAAAAATTGCCTTTAAAATTTGACTATAAGGCAGCCGAATGTCAGAAAATAAAGCGAGAAAGCTGTTTTATTACTTAACCTGTTTATTGCGCCATGGGTATTACCCATGAACCAAAAATACAAGATCACCTAATCAAAGAAGCAAGAAAAAAGTATATTTCGGAGCGTTT